TAGTGTATCTGCAAGATCCAAAGCCATCCATAGTTTGAATTGATACATTTAAATCTTTGAAAAACAAGCAATGGGAGATTCTTTAAAAGCCAAATTCACCACTTTAATAGAAAATATTGTACTAAAAAGACTACATTTGGAAGATATTCTTTGAATTTGAAAAAAATTAGGCTTTAAATTCACTTCACTAAGTATTTTTGCATTCAGTGGAAACTGTGGTTTTTAACCCAAACTGCACTAAAATCTTGTGGACACATAATATGATTAGTTTGTTTTCTGTTACCTGAACTTTTAATGAAGTTTCTTTAACAATAAAAAAAAGTATTCATAGCGTTATCATTGATATCATTCTCACTTTTTCTGTAGAGCTGCAACAACTATTATTTGTCAACTATTAAATTAATCGCCAACAATTTCGATGATAAATTATTCAGTTTGAACTTAAGTTTTTAAAGAACAAATTATTTGATTACAGCTTCTTAAACGTGAGAATTTTCAGTTTTTTTCCCTCCTTTGTGACAGTAAACTGAATATCTTTGGGTTGTGAACAAAACAAGACATTTGTCATTGAAGCACTGATTCCATTATTCACGATGTTTTGACATTTTACAAACCAAACAATTAATCTTTCAATGAAGAAAATAATCATCGACAGGTTAACTGACAGCAAAAAAAAAAAAAAACGTGTTGGTTGCAGCGCGATGTCTTTGTGCCTGAAACCTTTTGCACATTACTGTTATGAAGTTGATGTAATTGGTTTTCCCAGTAGAAAGACTACACTTGGTGAAAATCCAAATATGACCCAAAGTTAGCAGAAGAGTTCAAGCAGCCTGTCAGTGATCCCACTTCAGCTCAAATGGAATTAGGTAGATAAATAACTGCTGTATGAACATCTGGAGGTGTGGTTTTAATTGAGAGCTTTTTCAATGCTTTTTATCATACAGAAGTTGAAGCTTTATATCATTCTTATCTCCTATATTTACTTATTGACTGCATGAACTGAGGACCCACAACACACAGTAACATACATAAAACAATTAAAAAAATAAAAATAAAAACATCATTTGGTAAAAATGAGGGACATAAATGAAATTTGTTATACGGTGTCAAGTTCATAATTTGCACAACATACTCCCATTTTTCCAATTAGCTTCTTGCATTTGAGTTAGAGCTGCAACAATTTATGGAATTAACAATTAGTTGCAACTGTTAATCTGCAACTAATCTGATAATCTATTAATTAGTTTGAGTAACTTTCAGGTTAAAAAGTTCATATTCGCTGATTGCAGCTTCCTGAATGTGAATATCTTTGGTTTTCTTTCCTTCACTACGACAGTAACATGAAAATCTTTCACCATTTCAACCTATACATTAATTGAGAGAATGACTGACATAATAATCAACGATGATGATATTTGTTAGCTGCAGCCTTAATTCAAGTCCCTCAAACAAGCCCCAAATCAACATGAATCCAGATGTTGAACTGAGTCTGTTTTCACTCTTACCTGAATTGGCTCTTGGGTCAGTCTCATTGGTCCAACACATTCTTCTGTTGCTGAAACCTGCACAAGAAACAGTGACAATAGATGTGAATCAGTCAAAACTGGGCACATGAAAGACACACAAAGCAAAAAAAAAGAAAAGCTGTGAACTCTTCTTACCATTTTACCATTAATGTCCAGAAGCATATTGGCATATTGCTTTTTCCTTGCAAGACCTGTCTGTCCCTGCTGCACTTCAACCCGTTTAATCTTCTTTCTTACAAGCTACTTTCAGTTTCAAATCCAGGAGCAACAAAAAAAAAGTATTCCCTCGTGCTGTACAAGGCAGATGTGTGGAGTCAAACAGGATAGCAACAACGTTCTAAAACAACAAATCTCTGCACATCTTGACTACAGATTGTGTGATGACCTCTCCTACACTGCAGACAGGGATGTGTCCACGCAGTACTAGCAGTCCAGAACGCAGCCGTCCACTGCAAACCTCTTTAGAAGGTATTAGCCACCAGCCGCAGATTGAACTCACAGGTTTACCTGCATAATCCTACTGCGGAGCATCACACACTGTGCCGTATATATATGTGTGTGTTTTTGCAGCCTGTCTGGGCAGCTTCAGCAGCCGTCTTAACCACATGCGTCATCCTGGTGTGAATAAGCAACTCAGCTACATGTGCGTCCACTGAGCATATGCGTGCACACACATGCTTACACCACACTTGAAAACACACAGTGAATCAGCAGTGTACCATAACATACTGTATCAGAGCCCTGTGTGCCATGTCTGGGTATTACCCATCACTCATCCTGTTATTTCTGAGCAAGGCCTGCTCTGGTGAGTCAGTTTTCTCATGGAAACGTCTTTGTTGCAGTATGTGTTTGTTGCTGCTAACATGTTCATAAAGTCAGACTCATAACCCAAAAGGGGAACGCTCCGCATTAAGGCCTCTCTCCTGCTGAAAAGAAACATCTCCTCTCTGTGCAAAAACAGAGAGACGAGATAAAGAAAGAGGGGGAGGGGGAGGATTTCAGTGAATACCACCAGAAGCTCCAGAATAATGCACACTGTGCAGAAAATGTCCTCGCAGTCATACAAGCTGCATGACTAAAGCAGTGAGACAGGCAGGAGTTGGTGACTTAACCCCTCATCATTACAGTTTTATTTGTCAGAGGTAATTAGGCTTAAAGGTGGACATGTTTCTGCCCACATCTGGTCTCAAGTGGCCACAAACAATCACAAAACACTTTGTCAGGAGTCAAGACCCCTAAGTGTCATGGTTGAACACGCTTTAGCATCACTTTACAACATGCATGGTGGTCTGATATACCTCGAAAAATCCATGAAGGTCAACAGATGTCGATAAATGTCATGAGTCCATTTTCAAATGATCTTGGCTGGTGTTGCTGCTTTTCACACAAGTTTAGCAAGTGCTCAATGATATGTCAGGGTGTATATTTAACCCAAACATGATCTTTTCCAATGCGAGTGTGCTTGGTTGTCTGTCTCTAAGTGTAGCCCTGCGAGAGACTGGTGACCTGTCCAGGGTGTCTCCTGCCTTCACCGTAACTCAGCTTGGATAGAGTCCAGCCCCCTGCGACCCTAGTGAAGATTAAGCGGTGTATAGATAATGGATGGATGGATGATCTTTTCTAACTTAACCAAGTAGTTTTTGTGCCAAAACTGAACCAAGTAGTGAGTGAAAACAAAACTTAACATTCTGAAATCCAAAACCTACTTCCAGGTTTAAAAGGCATGACATCTGTAAAGAAAACACAAATAAATGTTGTTTATTTTTTTTTCCAAAATCAAACTGTGAGAATGGAAAAAATGGTCAGAATTTCAGCTTCCAAATTGTCCTTGTATGTATGATGCGTTACTTTGGGATTTTTCGAGGAATTGAATCCAACCTAAACTTAAAATCATCAGTCACTTTATTCTACATGTCCCATTTCAAAATTTGCCAAAAATCAATCATTTGTATGAACCAAATTCTTCAGAAAACTAAAATTCTGCGCTCCTCAGTGCAACTGGAAAGCCATTACTGTGTCGGCTTTGACCACCAGTCATGTTACAACAAGTGAGGGGCTTCTCGGCTGAACTGCAGGGGGTGTCTACACAGAGCAAAGAGGAGATTTTGCATTTGTTGCTGAAGCATAAAACACTGAGCCATGCACGGTCATTACACAAGAGAAGGCAAAGATGTACAAAAACACACATTGGCTTTATCAAAAGGCTTTTTGTCCTCTGTTGTCTTATGAAAGACATTCAGCTTTAAATAGCACATGCAAAGTGAGCGTACTTCGGTGACAAAGGTCTGAGAAGAAGAAGAATAAAGCACTTTTAACCCTTAAAAACTGCTTCATTGCGATTGTGTGAGTGTGGTTATATTGGATTGGACTGACAGTGCTGGCAACAAAAGCTGTTACCAGAATCTGATTTAAAAGCTGCCTCACTCACAAAAGTATGTGGCCTCATATATTTCCACATAAACAAGTAAAAAAGAAAAAAAAAGAAAGAAAGAAAGAAAGAAAGAAAAAGAAATATAGGATACAGAAATTGCTTAAGTTAAACAACCAAAACAGTGACAATTGGAAGGACATTGTGTGTTCCTGTAGATTCCATTGTTGTCCCTTTGATTCACATTAGGAAGCAAACTAAAGGAATAAGTTTTAAGCTCTAAAAGCATGGCTTAATATCCCCTTTACTATTTGCACAAACATCAGTGTTCCTTCTGCAAATGTATGCAGCTCATACAAGCAAAACACTTTATGCAAGTGATTCAAGCTAAACTGTGATCTTTTTCTGTGAAGCAGCTCAATAAAGTGCCTCATCATAGGTAATGTGGACATTTATTAAAGATCACAGGATTTATCTGTAAGCAGTCTTCCCAAGAAAAACTGCAATTTTAGCAAATGCCTAGAAATGACTTCTAAATTCAAGGAAAAAAACCCCACCTCTGACGTCCAATATGACTCTTATCTGTAAGGAACAAAGAAAGTTGTGTGATGTTGTTACCGAGCCATAAACAAAGCCCACAGTCTGAGGAGACTGGGGTGGTGGCATCACCAAAATTTGCACCACAGAGCCTCATGTGCTTTTCTGTTTTTAATATGACCATCTGCATGCATGTGTACCTACTGTAGTATGAATAAAACAGCATGTACTTCTGTTGTCAAAGCGCAGAAACCATGACTTGGTCTAAAGTCAGCAGACTTCCAGCCAGTAGACTTGGGTTAGAAATGGGCCACCATGACAAGGACTTCTGTGACATTCAATGACCTCCAATGACCTCATGTGTTAAGACAAGCTGGACTTAACTAAGACCACAATCCTGTGTCTTTGTGGCAGACCTGTGGAGGATAGCCATAAACAGAAGAGGCTGTATGAAACGGAAAAGTGCTCAAGAAACCAAACGATACTATAAGTTTAGCAACAGCAGTCCGTTGATTGCTAATTTTCAAGGTTGTGTTGCCACCAACATGTGGTCCTCACATCACAGTTGTTTGTGACTTTGTTGGAAAGCTGAGCAGGAATCACTGTGAGCAATCATGGTGTGGTCCAACAGGACAAAGGAATGAGATCAACCAAGTCAGAGATAACCCAACGGAGTTTGTAACAAAGACCAAGAGCATCTGGTGGTTCAGCGTCAAAGGCAAAGGAGCGAGTGGACTGAATCATTGCTGAGTGCATTGGTGACAACATGAAGCACAAACTCCAAATGTATTGGTGGGATTGAGGGTTGACTTCACAAGAAAATGAGTAATTGTGTTTTACTTGAGTACGACACGACCAGATGTGAAACAGAGCAGGAAGGAAGGCAGCACAAGTTGGGACAGTTCAGTAATCACTGCTGAGAGAACAGTTTGGAGGGAGATCAGTCCGTGGAGTTAGCAGATGATGGAGGAAGTGCTGGGGAAAGCTGACATTGGACACCGTCTCTTCTCAGAGTGGGTGACAAAATCCTCATGGAATGACAGGAGGGGGCAGTGAGTGAAGGAGGATTTTGGGGAGATTACACAGCAAAAGCCTCTTAGAGTTTAAAGGAGTGGTAGAAGCAAGATCGATGGAGATGGAGATGCAGACAGCCAAGAAGCAGGTGAGGAAAGACAGGAGAGAGATGACAAGGTGGACAGACATTAGATGTCAGAGTCTGTAGAAAGTTAAACAAGGGAGACGCTTAGGGAGAATAAAGAAGAAATAAACCACAGTGAAAGGCCGTGGTCATTTTCTTGGTGAGGGTATCAAATTTGTGAAACTTCATTCATCCAACTGGGGCAGAGCATTGTTACTGTAGCCAGTCACTAAATATATTATGAAGACGCTAAAGGTAGAGATAAGCAATAATATGGATAGAATTAAAATCTTTACCTAAAAACACAACTCAACTGAAGAACCATAGACCATCTATAAATATATATAAAATACAGGTCTTGGTAACATGCAGTCAATTTATTGGCTTAAGTTTTACTTCTACAGCGTGACCTACTGACTAAACAGGTCAACTATAGCAACTATAGCTGCAGTGAATAATCCATTAACCCTCTGAACTTTCTGTCAATCCTTCAACTAATCATCTGTGATATGTGCTTCCATCAGAAAAATGAACCCAACCTAAGCTTAAAATCATGATGGGGGTCTCGTTTAAAAAATTGTCACAAATAAATTGGATTGGTTGGGGGCAGCTGTAGCTCAGGTGGTAAAGCGGTTGTCCTCTGATCGTGAGGTTGGCAGTTCGATCCACAGTCTAAGTGTCCTTGGGCAAAACACTGAACCCGAAGTTGCTCCCAATGGCAGGCTAGCGCCTTGCATGGCAGCTCTGTCACCATTGGTATATGAATGTGTGTGAATGGGTGAAAGGGGAAAACATTGTAAAGTGCTTTGAGTGCCGCTAAGGTAGAAAAGTGCTATATAAGTGCAATCCATTGACCATTCTGTAGAAAACACAAAATTATCATCTGCCCATCTGAAAAGTCATAAATGACTGAGCTACAACAAACAATCAGGTGATTAAAATTAAGAGACTATTCTGCTAAACTCAGACAAGTATGGTAGCAAGTTTGAGAGA